TATCCTATATCATTATTATTTACAGTGATAATTTGATATCTATTTTCCTTTTATGAACTAAAAAAGGAACTAAATACACCTTATCTAGTTCTTTGATAATATGAAAATGTGTCTTCTAAAATAATAAATCCACCAAAGTAATCACGAGCAAATTTTTAAACTTTATAAATAATTTTAATGCTACATGCCCGCTCGAATTATAACATCTCACAAAATGCAAAGACTAAATAACAGTCTAATTTAGACATGGTTATAATATATTGGATCCGACCAAAATATGTGGCTGAGATCGGTTTCTAGTCCTCTAAATATCTAATGAATATAACATAGTAGAACTAAGATGTTAACTTTATAAATTTTTTATATACTCATTGTATATTGATTTATATATATGATAATTTTATATATTTAATATATGATTATTCAGACATAAATTACGAGATATATATGGCGTATCTGTTGGTCTGGATGTGAGGAGCTGCATCTCCTGGTTTCATCCTCTAGAGGATGAGTAACAAACGGTTTTGGGATGGAAGTCATATGGGTCTTGCGAATACGGATAAATAAGTGAGCCAGAGCTCTGGATGGATCGAAAGGGGCTTTACTCGGAAATGTGAGTTTAGAGGTGGTTTGTGGGTTGAGTACCATATCTGGGGATCGTGGTACTCATCTGATATTTGGTGGAATATTGTGTACAAGAGATGGACCGTGAGAAGAGTAAGGCTTTACTCGGAATGGTTTTCCAGACAGCAAGAAAGTCCATGAAGGAGCATGTTGGAAAAAATTCGGAACAAGGGGTTTAATAGAAAACAGATTACAAACAAGATGCTCTTGAAGGATAGACGGATGCAAGCAAAGCGATAATAATAATGAGAAGGTAAGTAACTAGGGTAAAGCAAAGCGTGTGAGCAAGGGCCCAAACAAGTAAAAGACTGTGCAAACATATAATTGCACAAATATATAAATACAGAATCACTCAAGCAAAAAAATACGCAATCATGCAAACATGGAATTACTCAAGCAAGAAATCACGCAACAAGCAAACAGAAAATCACACAAGCAAGAAATCACGCAATTATGCAAACATGAAATCACATAAGCAAGAAATCACACAATCATGCATACATGAAATCTTACAAGCAAGAAATCACGCAATCATGCAAACAGAAAATCACACAAGCAAACAATCATGCAATCAAATGATGGGGGGGGGGGGGGAGCTGCAAGAGTTATCCCGGAAGTGGAGATTACTCAGGGATAATGCCTTTTTCCTGTAGGTTTCGGGGATCCATACAATTGCCTTCTGATTTGTCGCTAACGAGGACAGCGTTTTGTCGATGCCCTCTAGGGATTTTATGCGTCATTTTCTGTTTTTCTGGGTTAAGCCTTGGTTCTCTTCGGCAGCGGGAGAAATCTGTTTGTCGGTGAGTAGGAACCACATATCGGACTTTTGTTCACTTGTTGTGCAGGGAGTTACACCGCATTATTTTCCTTGCTTATCGTGAATTGGCACTTCTTCTCTTCACAAGGTTGAAAATGGTCGCGTCAACCATCCTATTAAATAGGTGCCGCATTGACACACAATTCAATGAAAAATTGATTACAATTCGTCCCTGGGCTTTCGTCATTCTGTACTGCCGGACTAAATCTTGCAGTTAACCCCTCAACTATCGCCGATCCTATTAATAGATGGAGCGTGGAACTAACTTCGCCATTCTCTCTTTTCGAAGCGTTCTTCCACTGCACTTGAACTTCTTCTTCTTTTTCATCGATTTCTTGATCTCGCTTTGGCTTTTCTTGGTATGGTTGACGAAGATTCCGCCTCTTCTGATGCTAAAGCCCGATTGGCTAGATGTCGATCACTCTCAGCTCGCTTCCAGTTTCCAGAAAGTGCTTCCAGGCTTAAGGGCATCTCACCTGGTTCCCAAGGTCAGCCGTAAGCGTTCTCGTCGAACGAAGGCCGAACCAGTCCTTGGGATGGGTACTTTTTCACATTCCCCTCTTCGTTGGGCTCTACGCCCTTTCTTTTTGACTTGGCATTCGGTGTCCCGGTCGAGGGCGCTGCGGTATCTCGGTGAGATGGGTGCACCTGCTCTGTGGACCTGATCATCGACAGTCTAGCGATGGCGATGGGATCGGTGGGAGTTATCCCGGAAGTGGAGATTACTCAGGGATAATGCCTTTTTCCTGTAGGTTTCAGGGATCCATACAATTGCCTTATGATTTGTTGCTAACGAGGACAGCGTTTTGTCGATGCCCTCTAGGGATTTTATGCGTCATTTTCTGTTTTTCTGGGTTAAGCCTTGGTTCTCCTCGGCAGCGGGAGAAATCTGTTTGACGGTGAGTGGGAACCACATATCGGACTTTTGTTCACTTGTTGTGCAGGGAATTACACCGCATTATTTTCCTTGCTTATCGTGAATTGGCACTTCTTCTCTTCACAAGGTTGAAAATGGTCGCGTCAACCATCCTATTAAATAGGTGCCGCATTGACACACAATTCAATGAAAAGTTGATTACAATTCGTCCCTGGGCTTTCGTCATTCTGTACTGCCGGACTAAATCTTGCAGTTAACCCCTCAACTATCGCCGATCCTATTAATAGATGGAGCGTGGGACTAACTTCGCCATTCTCTCTTTTCGAAGCGTTCTTCCACTGCACTTGAACTTCTTCTTCTTTTTCATCGATTTCTTGATCTCGCTTTGGCTTTTCTTGGTATGGTTGACGAAGATTCCGCCTCTTCTGATGCTAAAGCCCGATTGGCTAGATGTCGATCACTCTCAGCTCGCTTCCAGTTTCCAGAAAGTGCTTCCAGGCTTAAGGGCATCTCACCTGGTTCCCAAGGCAAGGTCAGCCGTAAGCGTTCTCGTCGAACGAAGGCCGAACCAGTCCTTGGGATGGGTACTTTTTCACAGTCCCCTCTTCGTTGGACTCTACGCCCTTTCTTTTTGACTTGGCGTTCGGTGTCCCGGTCGAGGGCGCTGCGGTATCTCGGTGAGATGGGTGCACCTGCTCCGTGGACCTGATCATCGACAGTCTAGCGACGGCGATGGGATCGGTGGCGTATCTCCAGGACTCCCTTATATGGACGTAGGAGCGCGAGGAAAGAGCCCTGGAGGAACTGCAGCGGCTGTGCCCATCAACGGGCTCTCGGGGTTCCTCAGGCAGAGGTTCCTCCAGTCTTGGGAAGCTCTTCTAACTTCCTAGTCAGACCCTGGATTTCCTTCCCTTGTAGAACGCTTGCACGCAGAACAGTGTTGGGTTGACGCTCTCTCGAGGAAGATTGGGATCTTCAGGGAGCATCTGGTGTTGGTCTCTGGCCGGCGGTTTACGTCCAATTTTTCTATAACAGCCAATTTTTCTATTAACTTTTATAAAAAAATTTCTAATGATTTATCTATCAATCAGTGCTAATAACTACATAAACTATCTATTGAAAATACTACATGAACTAAAGATTTATGGCCGATTGCACCAAAAATTACATATTACGTTTATTGTAGTAATAGCGATTGCTAACTAGGACGACATGTGGTCTTATTAACCAATACTAATAACTACATAAACTATCTATAATTTTGAAAATTCTACATGAACTAAAGATATATGGTCGATTTTACCAAAATCGCATAACTTTAAATGCAGTGTTAGCAATTTCTAACTACGACGACACAATGACGTTGTTTTGCTACTAAATAATTGATTTTTCTTACCAGTAACAAACAAATACAAAATGTATGTTATTCTAGTTTCTCAGATTAAAAGCTCGTGCTGTTTTTTATTATAAGAATTATTGACTCCAAAACTTCTGTTTCACTTCTTTTTTTTCTTCCTCACGATGGTATGGCAACACTCAAATGTTTTGAATTTATATATTTTAAATTTATTTAATTTATATATAATTAGTAAAATAAAAATAATAATTTTTTTTTTGCGACGAGCTCTAATTTAAACAAAATTTGATATCAAAATCAACAATGTGGACCCGAGCAAACCCTTCCAACGACTCTGAGAATCATCTGGTTTGCTGTGAATTGGAGAAATAGTGACGTCTCAGAGAAAGTTTTGAAAGCTGCGATTCAAACTAAAGATAAAACGATGACGTTTTGAGTGTTTTAGATTATATTACTAAAATGATGTTGTTTTGATTTTTTTTTTTACGTGTTATCATAGTCAGCAATTTCTAATGCTGCAATTCACATTATATGCGATTTTGATGGAATCGACTATATTTCTTTAGTTTATATAGTATTTTCAAAATTTCAAATAAGTTATGTAGTTATTAGCATTGGTTCATAAGTTATATATGAATCGTTAGGAATTTATAAGTTCATAGGAGAATCGACTATATTTCTTTAGTTTATATAGTATTTTCAAAATTTTACATAGTTCATGTAGTTATTACCATTAGTTCATAGGTTATATGTGAACCGTTAGGAATTTATAAATTCATAGAAAAATCAGCATTTTTCCACTAAAACAATATTGTTTCGAATATTTACAGATCGTTAACGCTACAATAAACGTTATATATAATTTTTGTGAAATCGACTACGTTTTTTTAGTTCATGTAATATTTTCATAATTTTAGATAGTTTACGTAATTATTATATCAATCGTTAGGAATTTATAAATTTATAGAAGAATTGGCCATTTTTCTTTCCCGACCTTTTACCCAAATTACTCTTTTGAGAAGAAATTTTAACTACCTAAACCCTTCCCATTACCCGAGCTTCCCATCCTGTTTCTTATCGGAAACTTTATGTATTGCTTTTCAATATTGGAATTACGCATCCCGTTCCTAAAATTTTCCGTCCTGATTTTTGATACGAACAAGCATAGAGCACAAAAGAGCTAACACCCACTATCTTACTAATAATAGATGGTTTATGGGCAAGGATGTCTTAGAACAGTGGTGCTGGTTGAAGTGTATAATATATATCAACAATACCACGAAATACCCCGGTATTATCAAGAAACCAAAATCAGGGAACTTCAAGGGTTAAAATTTAAAGAATACAAATATAAAAGACTATGATGGGACAAATTAAGTTCTTATTGAAATATCATGAAGTTTACATCTTTGAAAACAATTGGAAATTTTTATGAAGCTTAAATCATATGAAAGAACTGTATATAGTTCTCTTCTTGCTATGGTATACCTAAGGAAAAATAAACATAACCAAACCAACACCAGTCACGGTTTAGTTGCAAGCTCCCAAATCTTGACCATCCCATCATCACTGGCTGACGCAAGCAACCGGTTCTCCTCCTGTTTCAGGTCACAACTTCAACTTCAACCTCAAAATCATAAATTCTATGCAGAAATTTCTGGTAAAACTTTATCCTAACCTACTGTCTCAATCATGTACTCAAACTAAACTAACTCGAACAATCAATGTCATCATCTCTCTGATACTATAACTAAGCTTCGGTACTATGTTCTATCTTCTAGGCTATATCTATACAATTCCTTATAGAATTTACTTCATCGTTGCAACCATATATCAAGTATGAGGTTGTATGCATTTGTGTGTATTAACTTCATAAAAGAACTTGGAACTTACACCGGGTGACCATTGAACAGAGTTTATATCCATTTCATGTGCTTTTTCCTTTGTTAGCAAGAGATTATATGAAGGTCCATCAACCTGGTTACACAGAAAAACAACTTTAAGTTCAAAGAAGAAGAGAACATGTCTAACTGCATTCGGTTTGTGAAAATATGTAGCCAAATTGTATTCAAGACCACATTGAATTAAAAAGAATTTGATTTTTGAAGGGAAACATAAGATGAAAATTTCTTACAGAGTCAAGTTTGCTGTCCACAAACAACCGTATAGCATCATCGCCTGCTCCACTCGCAATAATGTCATCCCTGTAAAGGTGTTAGAAGAGAAAGGCATGAAAACAAAACTTAATAGAAAATCTAAAAGATGTATATAAATCTGGAATTTCAAACTCAGCATGGTTCTCACGGAACAGCCTTGGATAAGACAATACAGCTTAGTTAAATGATCTGAGAATCACGAATCTCAATATATTTTATCGAAGGAATGTTGTCAGGTACAACAAAGAATTTTCCTTTTAGGCTAGCAGAGTCAATCACTAAAAGCTTAGGAGGATAACATCACGTTTTAAAGAAACAAAGCGAGGTGCCAATACCTTGACCAGTGAGCTGAGTATATGGTACGGTTATGATAACCAGAGAGTGTACAAACATGAGTCCTGCAAAGTCCGAACAGGTAAGCATTCCATTAATAGAAGAAGTTGGACAAAGAAATTCTTGGAGAATTCTTATAGGTTGAATATTATGTCAAGCTTTGAACTGTAAGAAAAACCAACAAACTCGGTTAAATGTTGCCACTATATTCTCACCAGGGAACATATCCTTCACCAGAATGCATCTTTGCAATATCTGTCTCCCATATCTTCAAGGTTAGATCATCACTGCAAAAATACATTCGGGTTAGCCTATTATTATCAGAACGGTACACAAGAGACAAATAACTTGAACGCCTATGAGAGACAAAGGGAGAAGATTCACCAACCTACAAGTGACCATCTTGTCCCCTGCAGCGTTAAATGAAATGGCCCAAACAGTAGAGGTGTGACCGCTGTGTGAAGAATTAAAGGCACATATTAAACGACTACCACAAAAGCTCAAAGCCTATTTAGAAAAAAAAAAACTTGAAGGTATATAAACAACAGGTAACTAGAAGATATACTTGTTAGATTCATCTAAGGTTTGGACACATTGATAGTCACCATCGTCATCTTCAGACCACCAAACCTGTGAGTAGCACGCAACTAACGTTATTAAATTATAACAAAAATATTGTTTTGTAACAAGTTTCAGGTTATGCATCACCGAACCCAATCAGCGTATTCTTATTACCTTGATGGTGTTATCATAACTGCAAGAAAACAAAACATCAGTTGTGGGATGCCACTGAACCATCTTCACATCTTGTGTATGCCCATTTAGCACCGAAGCACAGTCATATTCGTTACCTGGAAGCACTTCCCAAATCCAGACAGACTTGTCTCTACTACAGGTTGCAAGGTATGAACCAGCTGCATTCCATGATACACTTTTGACTTCGTTTTCATGTCCCTGCATACAACTCTTTCAATAAGTTTCCACTAGCCAAAAACGTGGTGACACAAAGCATTAGACAGTACAAAGAAACCACCAAACACTTTTAGCATAACAATACTGAATCATGAAGTGAACACTCAAAAATCCATGAGATTAGTAACTCTAATAAGTCATGGAGAATTTACATAACAGAACAAAAAATTTCAAAGGAGTCGGGTTGCTACGAGAGGATCTCAGCATTACAGATCAAGTAAGAACAGAGTCGAAAGAGCAAAAAAGAGCGCTCTTTACTAGCTAAGCTTATCAGCCAGTGACTATGTTGCTTAACAGCACATGTAAATACAATTACAAGTCAAGGATTTGGGAAGGAAGTACCTCCAACGTAGAAATACACTCAAACTCAGACCCAAAATTCTCCCAAATAGCAGTTGTACCATCAAAACTTGCAGTGGCCAATAACTTTCCTGAAGGTGACCAAGCACACGACCTCACGGTTCGTGTGTGCGTTTCTTCCAAAACTGTCTGAGCAATCACACAATACACGATAACAAGTATCATATAACCAATAAAGCTTTGGCCTTTGGGGGCTAATAACACCAAGAACTAATACAGCGTTCGAACTCGAAAGTACAAAGTCAAGTTAAGCCCTTTAGAGAATCGGAACAAAACCCACAAATTTGAAGGTTAAGGAGTAATGAATTCACGATTTTTTATAGGTAAAAAGTGTATATTTATATGAGTAAGCAAGTCTTGTAACCAATAAAGCTTTGGCCTTTGGGGACTAATACTAATAGCACAAGAGCTAACACAACAGTCAACTCGAAGTTGAAGGTCAAGTTAAGCCCTTAGAGAATTGGAACAAAACCCACGAAGTTTTAAGGTAATAAAGGAATAGATTGAGAGAGACCTTGCAGGTCCAGGAGCGAGAGAGCGAGCTCTGTTCCCAGATTCGTACGGTGTTATCGCCACTGCACGAAGCAAGAACCGGTGAAGTACCGCCGGCGTGAGAGGAGACGGGGTTCCAGGCTACGTTCCAAACCCGATCGGTGTGGCCTTCAAGTTTCTGAACCTCGACTAACTCCACGTTCTTCTCCATCAAATCCATCTACTACCTTTCGTCTCTGAATCGGACGATGAGCCTATGAGCAGACCCAGGAAGTCGATGAAGGATGATTCAGTTTGGTTTAGGATCGGTCTCGCTGGTCTATGATATTGCAGCACACCAAACCAGTTTGGTTAATTGGTAGTTAGTGATAAATTAATTTCTTCCACTAATTAACCCGCTCAATTGCTCCAACTACTCAACCGCATATAAAGGATATGGAAAATTTTGAAAAACCTAATATATTTACCTAACAGGATCTACCTTAAGCATAAGTTTTACAAATTTTAGATGGTAGAAAATGGAACATAGAAGAGAAGCTTGATGAACTTCTGAAAAAAATTAGTCTTGGATCTTAAGGAAGTGTTAGAGTTGAAAACAGATTAAGAAGATCAACCAATCTACTTGCTAAATTCCCTTTCAAGATAGTATGGAGCTTGGAGAGGCACATTACGTCAGAGAAACTTTGTCAATTGATGAAAAGCTCAAGAATCAGTCTTTGGTACTTTTTATTAGGATCCTGTTATAGTCTGTTTGGGAATTGTTTTATGTTTCCGTCACATTCCCGTAAAGGATCAGATCGGTCCAAAGTTTAGAACTGGTATTCTGCCCGAAGTTTTTGTTGTAATTTGTAATGAAGCCCTCCTGCCACTTGGTTTCGGTAAACAAAATGTTTAAATCTAAGTTGAGAAAAAATTAATGTCTCTGTATCTGAACAAATTGTGGTGAACAGAACAAATCTATTTTGGGAAAACTGGAATTGGAGTATGTTAGAACAAATTATGGTCTGTTTCTAGGTTTCTTTATAATAAAAGCGCTTTATAGTAAGGCAGATGTTTCAGCTGCTAAAGATCCTTTGTTGTTTGATATCTTTGATTTGTGGAACACTACTTTGGATGGGTTCTCACATGCCAAAAGTTGTCAAATATTACGAAGTATTGTGAAGTTAAACAATAGACCGAGGCTAACTGTTGATCTCATTAAACTCACAAAGATCCATTTATATATACGTGACGTGATCAAAAGGTCAATGGTCTTTTTCAAAAAAGTTAGTAAATGTCAGTGATTGATGATTATTGCACCAATTAATGAAAACAAAACTGTTGGGGATGATTCTATACGAATTAATCATGTGACTAGGCCTGAACGCAAAGTGAATATTCAGTGGAAAATTTTGAATATTTGTGGCTTACTCTTTTTTTACCGAATGTTTAATTTAGTAATTTTTTTGCTTTAATAAAATATGGATATCTGAAAATTCAGATACCGAATTTTTTTCAAATATTTGTAAATATTTACGGATATTTACAGATATTAAGTTTATTTTATTTAATACAAACAAAAACTAAAAATACATGTATTTTTTAAATATGAACTATCCAATGGAAAAAAATTATCTTTATTTAAGAAAATGAGTATAAATAACAAAATATAATGCTAAAAACAGTATTTTATATTTCGAATAATTATTTAAAAATCTAATATAAAATTTTTAATTTATTTTTAAATATATGTTGTCTACTATTAATGTTTATTACCTACTATAGAGTTATTATATATATTTGTTATTATGTATATTATTTTCTATTTATCAAAAAGATAATAAAAATGTATAAAATATTATGATATTAACATGTGTATATATATATATATATAGATATAATCTAACAAGTGGATATTCTAATTTTTTGAAATTAGTATTTGTTGGGATCGATTTTATCGCCTACAGGGAAATGCGACACATGGACATCGAACTGTCATAGACACTGACACACACCCTGCTAGCTCGGTCGAACACTTCCTACGTACTATTCTCGGACAGTTGGCGAGCTTCCCCAAACACGCATGAATGATTAAGCCCATTTGCTGCTCTGGCGCACCGAATGGAGAGGACATGATAAGGAGAAGGCGAGTATAAAAGGAGGGGATCATCTGGAGAGACCCGTTCAGAGAGATGGACTCGGAGGGGACCCGATCTAAGGGATGGGCTCTGGGAACTCGATCTAAGGAGAAGAAGCCTGACCACTTCAAACCGACCAGCACTGCCGAGCAGGATAATCGAGAGAGAACATCTCCGTTCTCTCGAGATAATGCCTACCAGGATAAGTCCCTTCTTAACCCGGAACTCCGCCTTACTACTCGTTGAATCCTTCTTTTGCATTATGAAACCCCCTCGAAACAATTAAAAACAGATAGATGTCTCGATCTCCGGACGAGACCTCTCACCCGAACCCGTAGAAACATCCTCCTGAGTACTTGTTCCCGGTAGAGCGTTCATTGACTTGGGCGTCAGAGAACCTTCAGAAGAGAAACCCCATTTCGGTCTTCCCGGAGGCCCGATTGATCTTTTGTGTAATATTTACAGGTTCAGACGTGATTTCTATCCCGCTGACAGGACCCGAACCGGCTTCTGTCTCAGAACGTCTGGCCGCCTTTCCCCCAGAGGACGAAACTCGGAGGCACGGCTCCACTCCTCGGATGAATCACACACCCCCATGTGGCATCCCGGAATTTTCTCCCAAACAGTTATCGTTAGAAGGAGAGGAAATCACCGGCGGACATTCCACGAAGGAAGCAGTTAACATGACTCGTCCCTGCAAAAAATGTAGAAGGCCCGCGAGCCATGATTCTACTCAACAAGACTTGAGACTCCAGAAGATAGATTCACAAAACAAAGCAAAAAGTATGAAAAGAGAGCATAAACAAGAAGATATGCGAAGCAAATTAAAGTGAATTAACAAAAAAAAAGGCTAAAAGCAGCCACCGATCTAAATGTACGAGGTTATATTCTACAAGGGGCGAAAGTCTTCAAAAAGAGATTGTTTAATTTAAACATTCGGCGGGCATGAAGATCTCGCGCCTCCAGTGCCCCTTGCTGCCCCATGAAGCATTCGTCCCCCGTGACCCATTCCGCCGACGCTTCTCCTCGAGCTCCCACCTGAGCAAGCAGATCGTTGTCTGACTACTCGAGAAGGTTTCAGCTGCCATCAGCGCAAGATCCACCTTGGCGCCTAGAGTAAACCCCTGATACACTACCATGGTTTCGCGGAGCATTCCCACCTTGAAGTTTCGGATCTCTAAGTCCAATTGGCTATCAGTTAATGCTGTCGTCAGACGCTTCACCTCTGCACTCAGATTTTCTCCTCGTGCGGAAGTCTACGCCTCCGTGAGTTGGTCCCGGATCACAAGCAGTTCGGCCTGGAGTTTGCTAGCTCTGTCTACAAGGTCGTATTCGCGGTGCTCCATCGCATGGAGTTCGTGCTCCAACATCTTAAGCGAGCGCTGACTCTGCCAAAGCAAAGAAACAGGTAAGGTAATCACCAAGAAACAAAAAGGGAAGAAGTCAGGAGAAGAAAATTACCTCATCCAGTGAGCTTGTGAGTTCTGAAGCGGTCAGCCGGCACCCGGTAAGTTCACGGGTCGAAGGAGCAGTCAAATAAAGAGGCACGAACACATGTCCTGACTCCAAAGAGACGCTCATCGCATTGGGCGAACCTGGCGCAGTAGGGGCTGGAGTCGCAACTTGCACGGTCCCGGAGATCTCTGCAGTCCCTAAATATTGGGGATCATCGGCCTCGCTCAGATCCTCGCAACTAACAGAAGAAACAGAGTCCATAGAGGTCGAAAAGAGCAGCTTGACGTGGGCTAAAGAAGGACCAGGGGACCATGTCGCCCTCACCTTAGGGGATCCAGTGCGACGTCTCTGGCGTGAGGTCCATGATTAAGCCTCTCTGGCGGGGGAATCAGCATGACGCCTCCAGCCCCACGACTGCACCGGTGTCCTTCTTGTGCTCTGGGTGAGCCTTGCGTTGGGCAAGCAATCCCGGGGGCACAGAGATCTCACGCTTCCTCGAGCCGGTGCTGACCACCTGCCAAATAGGGATCAGTAAGCGGCACCCACAAAATCATTATAAAGAGAAAGTCTGGGATCATTACCTGGAATGTCAGACGTCATGTAAGACAGAAGGATGAGAGAGCTCACAATGATGCTCGTAGGCGAGAGCAGAAAGTCAAATGATCTGAACTGCTTGTTTAGTGCGAGCAACCGGTTCAGTTTGACCTGTTCAAAAGCAGACGTCGTCACGGAACCTGGAAGCACGAAAGTCGCCGGTCAAAAGTCAAGCCAAGCGGCGCAAGCGAACGCGAGGGAAAGAAAGCGGCAGTCAACAAACTTACCACGAGGACGCCAAGTGAGCGATGTTGACATATGCCAACACCATCCAGAAGAAGTACTGTTCTCGCCAGTCACAGCTCCCTAATCGATCCCCGAAGATAGGGATGGTGCAGCTGTCCTTGGTGTGCAGAGTTTAGCGAAGAGCATTGGCGGTGAGGTTGCAAAGCTGGTAAGACAGTAGCACTGGAGCCGCGCACGCGGTCCCCAGACAGGTCAGAGAGGACCAGGTAGGCGCAAAGAAGCCCCCACGCCGAGGGATGGAGTTGACTGGAGCAGATGCCGGCGAGACGACAATAAAACGACCAAAATCCGAGGAAGGCTTCCCCAGAAGCTGTAGACGATGTAATCGTTGTGGACCGCCAAGCTGTGGTGCGGTGGGTGATCTGCTTGATCTTCCCCACCAGGAAAGATGAGGGAGTGTCGGAAGAGGGAGGGTCGTTCGCCCCAAGATCCTCTCTAAGGAGTCCGGAGTGCACACCGATGGAGGTCGGTCACAAGGTGATGACGCCGAAGGCATCCCAGCTATGCTCCTGACCTCGCCGCCGGACCGCGAGAACCGTTCACGCCACTCGCCGGATGATGAACTCGCTGATGACATCTCTACTGAACGAGAAGAGAGATAGGAGGCGAAAAGATTTAAGGAAGAAGTGAGAAATCTATGGTTTACTTCATAAATAGAGGAAGACCACGAAAGCATGGATTCCGCGGGATATATAGAAGGAGGAAGAAATCAAAGAGACTCGCGAGAAAAATCGCATCGCTTGGGGAAAGCCAGGAGTCGAGGGCACAACCGTAATTAAAATTTTCTCGAGCCGTGTGTTGGGAGTGATGCGCATTTAATGTGAAGAGAGACAGACAGCCCGTCGTAGCAGAAAAAGCAATCAACGGTTCTTGAGAGGTGGCACATGCCGTACGACACAACGCGGCGCTTCGAGCCATCAGAAGTTCGCCATGTGGATCGCACTCACTCTACGTCGGAGTCCCACCCAGAAAATCCCAAATGTCGGCTATTGGTTCTGCCAAAGCCATGGGAAATCGACTGACAGACAGTCGCAATGGTATGAAATTCGCGTTCTTATAGGAAAACTGCCATCTGCTCCTGGGCGGAAATGGTCTCATGGATGGGTTGCACGAGGGCCACGCACATGGGTCAAACATAACCGCCCGGGCATCTCAAGCTCCTGGCGGGTTATACGGAACCCGCGATCATGGACGAAATGTGACTGTCTCAAGAACAGTCTCGGCCTGCGAACAGCCCTCGAGGCTACATC